TCGTGGCCGACGCCAACTTTGACACCCTCATGGTGAAGCTCAAGGGCTTCTTCCAGAACGCCAAGGCCAACAAGATCGAGAGCCGCGGCACCCGCTACCAGTACTGCGACTTCCTGGTGAAACTGGGCACCGTCACCATGGGGCCCAGCGCCAGGGGCATATCCGTGGAGGTGAGGGGCCTCTGGGAAGAGTGGGCAGCACAGGGACACGCAGGGAAATTCCACGTGGGAGGACAGAGGAGGAAGGTTTAGGGGTGACCGAATTGTGGCGGTCCAGTGCCTGAAGGGAGCTGATAGGGGAGATGGAGAGACGTTATTTACAAGGTCCTGGAGGGGCAGGACAAGCAGGAATGGCTTCACACTGCCAGAAGGCAGGGTGAGATGGGAGATTGGGAAGGAATTCTTGGCTGGGAGGGTGAGGAGGCCCTGGCACAGGTTGCCCAGAGAAGCTGTGGCTGCCCCGTCGCTGGGGCCAGGCCAGGTTGGATGGGGTTACCCCTCCGTGTTACGTGATGAACGTTCTGGGATGTTTTCGTGGAAAGCACGCCCCTTAGCCAGGCAGGGAGCAGGGCACTGCCCCTTCCGCCAGCTCCAGGGCTGTGGGCTGCATTCCCAGGTGGAATACTGCCCCTGTGTGATCGCCAACGACTGCTGGAACCTGCTCATGGAGTTCATGCAGAGCTTCATGGGCAGCCACACGCCCGGGATCCCGTCGGTGTTTGGGGCCAAGCACGACAGCGTGTACAGCCCCGGGGACACCATGGTGCAGTACATGGAGCTCTTCAACAAGATCCGCAAGCAGCAGCAGGTGCCTGTGGCTGGCATCAGGTGAGGGGATTCCCTGGAGCCGCTCTGGATTCATCCTCCCTGCTGCCTGCCCAGCGGGATCGGCAGTCCCTCCGACACGCGGCACGGGACGGCTTTTTCCTCCTGCATCTCCTTCCCCTGGTTCAAAGCCGAGTTTTCTAGTGCTGGGTGTGTTTCTGGTTGTTCTCCATGGTTTGGAGCGCGTCTGGGATTGGATCCGTGGCTCTGTGGTTCTCTGGGCGATGCTTCAGGCGAGGAATCAGTGTCCATCAGCGGGAAATTGCAGGAAAAGGAGAAATTCCAGCCAAGCACAAGGGCAGAGCTTCTGTGACTGCAAACAGCTACGGAACAGAGCTTTTAATTTTTAATTTTTTTTTTTTTAGTATCCACATAAAAGTGTCTTCTTGTATTTCACCCCAATAAAACTGTATTTTTGGAGGAGTCTGTGCACAGCAAGGGTCGTGCTGCTTTGCGTGGTTTTATTTACAGGCACAATCCTTCGGCAGAGTTTTACCTTTGATTTGGTTCAAGAGCTTTAATACCCCCAAAGGAAACTCTTTTCCCTGTGGCAAAATCTCCAGGAATTCTGGCATTCCCGTTGTGGGTGCGTTCTTAACTTGCCTTCATCCTTTAGAGCTGCTGGGAGGGTTAAAATCTGCTGCCTCTCAGATGAAACCGATAGAGCCTCGGGATAAATAAATTAATTAATTCATTAATATGCCTGGCAGGAGCCCTCTCAGGCACCGAGAGAATTCCAACTGCTTTATCCTGTTATTTTAAGGTAGGTAAATGCCCTGTCCCTGCATACTCTTCATTTGAGAAATCCTGGTGACTGGATTTGGAGAATAAGGGCCAAAATTGATACGATACCACTTGAAAACATTGTCCTGGACACAAAGGGCAAGTAGAGAAGGTCCAGGGATGGTTTTGGGAAGGGACATTTTCCAGGAGTTCCTTGTGAAGAAGCAGCTCACAGAAGATACTGCTGATTCCTTGGGTCCTGAAGAGTAAAGAAAATAGAAATAACTTCTCCCAAACAGATGTTTTCAGAGGCAAAAGGGGAAAAGCAGCTGTTTTGTGGCTCAATTTGCTAGCAGAACTGGTTGTTTCAATGTGATTCTCTGTGATTACCATTCATACCTGCAAACCTAATTAACTTCAGAGTGCTCAGAGCTTTTAGCATGGCCATTTAATAATTCAATCAGCACAGGGCCCAGAAAGGGCTGGTTAATGGGCCAGAAGAAATGGCACAATGTCCCCTAAGTGTGGTAGAAATTCCAACATGCTGAATATACTGAATTTTTGCAACTCTTAGCCCAAGTTCATGACCTGTGCTCTGACTTCTGTGGGACTGTTAATTTTCAGTGGTGAAAATTCAGATAACGTCTGACGTAGTTCCACGTAGTTAAACTGGGCAAACTTAATGAAAACAAACTGCAGTTTTTCCAGGGATGGTTATTACTGTCCTGTTTCCCATTATAAGCCTTAAGGTTAAAAAAAAACACAAAACCCTCCTAATGATCAGATTAGTCATGCTGAATATGCTAATGCTTTGTTAATTCCTGAAACTGTTCTGGAACCAAAGATGTCAAAACTCTGGTCACGTGTCTAAAAAAACACAAAGTGTGTGCTGGAATCCCTGGGGATTTCTGGGCTTTGATTAATACCTTGTGCTGTTCCTGGAGTGAGGAAATGGGACCCCTCGAGCCACGTTCTGCTCCCAATTACCCCCGTGACGTCAGTGGGTTTCCACGGGGGTGAGGATGAGGAGGATTTAGTCCTTCGTGTCTCAGCAAAGCCTGTTGCTCTCCGTTCTGGGAGCAGCTGCTTCATGTTACTCTGCGGCTTTTTATTGTATTGATGGACGAAATTGCTCTTTTTCCATCTTATTAATCCTCATTTTGCCCTCCCCGCAGCGCTGTGGCAGGTTAACTTGGCTCTGAGTGTGCCACACAAAACTCCAGGGGGTTTTCAGCGGTGTTGCAGCGATGGGCTGAGCCAGGGGAATTGAAAACCTCCCTAATTTTGCTGGTCAGATCATGGTTTGGAAGGTTGTTTGCCTGTTTTCTTGGTGCAAGACGTAGAGGGAGATGTGGCCAAGCCGTAGTAATGTAACACTGGATTTTTTTTGTGTGCTTCTGCCCCTCTCAAAATCTCTGGCAGTGTTGTTGCTTTCCCCAGGTGAAGCCTGACCTGGAGAGGAGCAGGGATTTTGGGGATGGGGGTCTCACCCTTGCATGGTTATAGCTTTATAGCTATATTTATATATGTAGCCTATATAAATGATGTTTAACCAGCGTCACCAGTGCTTCAGTGGCAGAGGGAGCCCAAGTTTTGCTGCCACCCCGGGGATTTGGGGGTTTTTGTTCTGTCTTGAGCTGTGGCGTATTTTAACCTTATAAAGATGAGTGAGGATGCAACAGCCTCGTGAAATCTTCAGTTTTAATTCCTGGCAGATGTTACAGCCAG